CCCAGCCTGCAGCCGAGATGGCTTCAGAAGCACAGCCCGGAGCACAACACAGAGACAGCAGCATTTGAACCCGGCAGTCCCTGGCACCCTCTGGTTTCAGTCCGTGCACCGTCAGGTCAGCCCACAGAGGCAGGCAGAGCTCAGGGGTGAACTCGCCCCTCGGCAGCTCTCCAGAACCAACTTGTGCACAGACAGGCTCTGATTTCCCCCAGGCTGTGACAATTCAGGCGAGAACTGATGTCCTCCTGCGTGGTGACACTCAAGAGCTTGAGACCTGCAGCCCTACACACTTTCTGCCCCAACACTGAGGGCCCCCAACTGGGGTAAGCCAAAAACCGAGTCAGCCCCACTTGGGGAGCTCCTGACAGGAGGATGGCAGGCACCGCCTCCAGCGCCCGCCGGCATTGCTCACTTACTTTAAAGAAGAGGTAGAGCCCCAGAAGGGTGCAACTGGCAACAATGGGAAAACGAGCAGCGTCTCGGCTGGTAATGGTCTCTGGCATCTCTGAGGAGTTCTGGGGAGGGAAGGAGAGGACAGGAGTGGATCAGCCCCTGCTCTGGCATTCTACTTGAACAGGAGGTGAGCAGACACAACGAGCGGGGCTCCGCAGAGGCTTCGAGAGGGGCAGGGTACCTGCTGGCCCCCCATCGTTCCCGGAGGTGGGGCTGTGTCACAGGCAGAGCCTGAGATGGAAAAAGCAAACCTTGCTCTCGTCCTTCCAAAGGCTGCCACGATTTACTGGTTTTTTCCTCTTGGAGAAGGGAAAAAAACCACTGCCCACTGCGCTGGCGTTGTTCCTTTTTCCCCCTGCCCAGAGGGAAGCCGAGCTCCCTCACTGCTCACGCCTGGCCATCCCCGCCAGCCTTCCCATCTGTGCGCACCATATGTCGATCACCCTCTGAATGACATTTCTCCCCAATCACCTTTTTATCCCTCACCTCGCTCTTGGGACACTCCTTGTGCTCAAAAGCCTCAGATTTATAAAGCCCTTTCGCCTTCTGAGACATCTTTGCATCAGCTGAACCAGTCCCCTTTCAAGCCATTTCCCATGAGAGACTTTCAGAGGAGAGGCAGAGCGTTGCCTGCTTGGCTGCCTGCTCCCCTGCCTGCTCCCCTGCCCAGCTGGCTGCTGCTCAGAGATCTAATCTCGCACAGGCAAACACCTGCGGTCAGCGCCGGACAGAGTGCATGTTAGCGGAAGCCTTTATGCAAAGCAATCCTGCGAAGGAACAACAGCTTATCCCGGGCACGCAGCGCTCGGCAGCGCAGAAGCAAGTGCCCAAAGAGCCGCTGGCTCCCTGCGGCGTGAGCAAAGAGAAATCCCCCTCCCAAACCACGGCCAGGCCCTGCTCACAGACCTCAGTAGCTTGGGCTGCCAGGAACCCCACTAAAACCAGCTGAAACCCCTGATGTAAGACTTAAAGGCGCACAAGGGGCTTT